TACATTTTTGTTTATCCATTCATGTGTTGGAGTGGGTTCTTCACGGTCGCAGGACTTTGAAATCTCATGTGACTCCGTAGTGACGTGACTGATGACGTAGTAGAATTCTAAAATTAAACCAGACTTACCTGTAAGTTGAAGTTTGATTGGGATTCTACTAGTCAGTCATCAGTTAGGGACGAAGGAGTCACAAAAGGCAAAACATCGAATCGACAACCTTCGGAACACTTGACACCACATTCGCAATACAGGTTTCAGTAATGTTGACGCATGCGCGGACGTTTTCCTGCCGTGTTTGGCGACTCGCTTTGACTGCTCGAGTAACTTGCCGAGCACGCGCAGTTGATCATTTTTTGTCCGGTCGCCTGAAAGAAAGTGGGTACATGAAAACGTAAGTTTCCGCAGTGTTTACAACGGTCAGTTCCAGCTCTGTGTGTGTATCTACTCTGTGACGACACCCTAGAGCATAGTTAACTTTAACTATCTTTTAACTACAGTTTGATAACGCTAACTACTTTTTATACAACCGACTTAACTATGTGGTTAAAGTTATTACTATTTAACTACAAAATAATCATTAAAGATGCGGTAAAGTCCGTTCTGCGCATTTATTCTGCGCATCAAAACATTCCATCAGTGGGGGAGCAACCTTTGGAATGTTGTTAATATTTCACACCTTCCGAGCTTTCTTGAATTGAATCTCTAGTCTGTATTCATTTACAAGCATAACGAACCAGAAAAGTGTTAAAAATTCAGTATAATATATATCTAATCATATTTTACAACTGTAGCAGTGAGTTCAAAATGTAAACAAAGCGTTTGTTTACATTACGGACTTTACATCACCTTTAAGAAAGTGATTAATATTTTTATACAACCGGCCCCAGGCTTAATAGGACACCTGTAGCAATCCAGTGTGAATTGTTGTCTGCATGCATATATTAATCAGTTTATTTACAGTAAACTCAGTTTATTTTACTTTACCTGGAACGATAACACCCTGTTATTTGGCAGTTAAAAACTGAAGATACAAAATAATTAGATGGCCTCATAGTGAACGGTAGATTTTCGGCTTCATTTTCAGACAACAGTTACTCAATCTGTTATTATTTTTAGATCAATAGCGCACTTAATGTCACTATAATTACCCAACATGCATGCACACATTACTGAATTTACCAAACTCAGCCAAAATCAAAACCCATCATCTGCATCTGTGCTTCATTCTAATTTGTATTTGTATCAAATGTTCACAGCACTGATAACTCTCAGGATACAAGGATCAAATGGTACTGGTCGTGTTGAAGTATTATACAATGGGCAATGGGGAACAATCTGTGACGACAATTGGGATATAAATGATGCCAGGGTTGCATGTCGTCAACTTGGTTATACAGATGCTGTTAAAGCACTTGAAGGAGGCAATGTTCCTGATGGTACTGGAAGGATATGGTTAGATGAAGTCGGTTGCAGTGGGAGTGAACAAGGTTTGGCCGACTGTTACCATAGTGGATGGGGAACTCATGATTGTGGTCATCATGAGGACGCTGGAGTTGAATGTTTAACAGGTATAATTAAATGTGGGACAGCTAATTTAAACAATTAATGGGAAATTACCAGCCTGCACGCACTGTTTGCCTGCTTTGCGCGCATTGTTTTCCTGCAAATTGGACCTTTCAAAACCGGAAATCGGACTGGAGCACGCGTTCGTTATTGGCAAACGAAGCACAGCGAATGGGTGAAATGGCCGCACGGTGCAAATTCGCACGGTGCCCGGTTTGAAAAAACAACTGCAATTTGCTCTAATACTTTCTGTCACTTCCATTTGATCTTATATTATCCGTGAATTGGCCTCATGCAACGGTCTTTGATTAATGATTTACATTATTTAAACTTTTACAAATGTATTGTTGCTGCCGCAGCGAGGTCGCCTGAAGCGACCGAGCAAGGCAGCAGCCTAAACTTTGAAATAGGGGTTGAAATCTGACAAGTCATGCAAGCTGTTTGTTTCTCTACCATACTTACGCCACAGCACTTATCAATTTCCAAACATGTTTTCAAATGAAACTAATAAAATAAATCCATTGACTTGCCATGATGGCAAACTTAAATGGCTTGGAGGTTTTAAATTACTAGAACGATTTGTCGAAGATATATTAAATATTAAGGGAAAGTGGAAAGTCCCTCGCGGAGGTTGTAAAGAGTTAAATACAACCGATATCACTGTACGGTGGTATGAGAATGAAAGATTGCTGTTGGAAGGTCCTATGGTGAAAGAATATATTAAAGGGATTTTGCAAAAGATAGCGACGATATAACCCAATAGTGAATATAGTTTGGGCGTAAACAATCTTGGCGGCTTTACGCCTCCGCAAAAGCCTTCGATTAAGAATTTTAATGAGTATTTTATAAACACGAACTTGACGAATGTAGAATTGGTAGAATTGGATGGCTGTCAGGGTGATTCCACAATCAGCTTATTTGAGAATGATGTGACAAATTTAACTGAGGAATGCCGAGGAGATGATCCGCCGTCGCTAGAGAGTGAGCTGCTCAGTTCAAGATGTTACAAATCACTTGGATGCACTATCAGAGTGTAGGAGAGTAAACACCGTTGACGACAAACCAGATCCTATTGATTCAGCTGAGCACTAGGGGGGTCCGGGGGCATGCCCCCCGGAAAATTTTTGGAATCTAGAGTCCCTGTAATATGATTTCCTGCATTTTCAAAGTAAGATTATTCAGAATTGCGAAGATTATAAAGTATACAAAACACACGATTTTTTCATGACTACATAGATATAAGACCTACAAATGTAGTATTACATCATAGTCAATAAAATGAGGTTAGGGAACTAGATGCAGACATACAGTAAAATCCTCATTATCTATGTTTTTATCTGGTTTAACACAAGGAACGACCGGTTCATCGTCATGTGTGTTTTTTTACCAATAGCAGTTTGCTGGTAATTGGTTTTGGTTGGGTAGTTCTAAGGTGAAGTTAATATTGTCATTAAGGCCGTTTGCTATAGTTAAAAGTCGTTCTCCTGAGATACATTTTGACAACAGAAATGCGAAGTAGTAGTAGTGTATGTGGTTTTCGATCCGGATTTTTGGGGCGGCGCGGGGCGGCGCATCATTATATATGCAGGTAATTACTATGCAAGGGGGCGGCGCATCATTATATATGCAGGTAATTAAGGGGGCCGCATCATTATATATGCAGGTAATTAAGGGTTCCGCACAAATGAGGGTGCGTAGTGACGTCACGCGGGTAGGATCAGGCAAGTAATGACGTCACGCGGGCGAGCTTAAACACGATCGGGCGAAACTTGCTGACTACGCATTTTTTAGCGTCCCACACGTGTGTTGAATAGTTTGTGTCCCTCGCATGGCAAAATTGTTATCGAAATTAATATATAGCAGAGTTATAGCCGTATCTTTGCTCGGAAGAGATAAATTTCCACAGGTATATTGAAGGATTTTTTGTATGTTCCATAGCGAGGAATCTATTCGTCACAAAAATCAAGACATATTTTAAACTAAACAGTTCCTAATCCCGAGTTGTCAACGTCGTTGTTATGGTCAATATTTGCATGTTGTTCAAGATTATTTAGCAATCCTCCTACATACATATATGCTGTTAAGATGATCATAAGAAAACTTATCAAGAGTAGAAGTTAGAATTAGAACAGTTGTAATATTTTTTGACACTATCGTCTGTTATTTGTATCAATAAACATGTTTTATACTTTGCAAATGTTGCGTTGTTATGCGTTGCTAAGTCATTAGGAGGCGTGTAGGTAATTAAGGGGATTAAGGTAATACGAATTTGCATAACTAAGTGTATCCCGATGGATAGATAGGGATTATTTTTTAACGCAGGTGTATACCTTAAAATCAGGCGCGTGGCTTTGTGGGTACATGCATATATTAAAGTACAACATATTTGTACACGGATCTTTTCGCGCGGGCGGAAAGAGCGGGCTTTGCCGGCAAGAAATTACACAATATTTCAGTTTTTAAACACATTTATTTCTTCAGAACGTTATACAAAATTTGGTACGGTCTACTTCTAAGAGCGTAACGTCTAGGTGTTTTTGTTATTTTTAAAGAGTTCTCATATTCTTGTCTATCTTCTGGGGATAACTTTGCAAGTTTTTCCGGCTTCATTGGAATATACTTCGGTCTATCACTCAATATAAAACGTTCATAATCCTCTCTTGCTTCCGGAGTCATTCGCGCTAGGTCACGTTCGGTCCAATCTGCTGGGTCTTTTATTTGTCCATTTTTGGTGTGAACTCCAATCCACCCGTCTTGGTGTTAGACGTACCATACGAACATAGCTCGCAGAAACCAATGACATGCGAAAACAGTATAGGTGACTGTTCATCACATATCATACATTGAGCGTCTTTGCCCCAGTAGAAATCTTTCCACGAACATCTTGGGCACTTCATTAAGTATACAATGTGACCAGTCTCTTCTCCACAATGGTTACAAGCTAGTTTCTCGGGCTCACCATCATCCTCATTATCATCATCCTCATTATCATCATATTCGCTTTCATTATCACCTTTGTCAGATTCCCTGTTCTCTTCACCAGATTCGCTTTCAACATCACTCTCAGATTGTGGCATTTCATGTTCCTCCTTTGCCATTTTTGACAATAAATACA